GGCGGCTGAGCTATTTTATGTCTTTTCCTATTTGGCAGCTGATTTGCTATGTGTCAGCCAGCTTTTGGCTCAGTTTGGTTGTGGCTTGTTACTGGGAGAATGTCATGGAAGAAGCCCCCTGTTGGGTTGCCATTGCAAGATGGCTGCATTGATGATTCAAGCCTGGCTTGGAAGCAGCCAAGTGCAGGAGCTCAGCTTGTGTCAGGATGGAAGAAGCCAGCTGCAGGGAATGAGGAGCAAATCATCATGGAGCCTTTGAAGAAGAGGAAGACTTCTGGCCAGACATCCTGGAAAAAGTGCGGAGACAGCAGCAGTCCACTGTCCTCTGTTACCTCTTCTGCTTCTTGGAAAAAGCCTAGCCTTGGCGCATCAGAGGTTGCAGTGACAGCAACTGCTAAAGCTGGTAAAACTGTTCGGCATCATGTCTCCTTGGATGTCCCCATGCTGTCACTGGTTGCCAGTAGTGATGATGGTGGGGAGCGGCAAATGACAGAGTACAAGAAGAAGGCACTGGATCCAGATCGAATTGCCAAAGTGCTGCTGGGGTCCTGCAGTTGTAAGAACAACTGCTTTGGCTGTTTTAAAGCAGCCAAAGTATTAGAGGTTTGCCAGTTGTGGCATTCAATGACAGATGAGGCCCAGCACCACTTCCTGAATGCACAGTGGGAGAGCAGTGCTGAAAATCATTGTTTGGACTTTGATGGAGAGCAGCTGGCTCACCGCACAAGCTGGTATTTTGAGGGGCAGCAAATTTGTTTGCCAGCTTTGTGCACCCTTCTGGGAGTTGGAAACAAGGCCATGGCAAAGAAGCTGCAGGGGGTGGTGGACTTGCGCCGCAAAATCAGTCATGGCGAGCCAATGTCTACAAGGCCTGCTTTGCAGAGGAATTTGACTAGCATGTTTTTTCTGGAGCTCTACCACCAAAGTGCAGAAGATTTGCCTGAAACTTTGCATGTGCAGCATGTGGATGATAATATTTCTGCCAGCTTGGGCGAGAATGACTGCGATGCTCCTACATACCTCCGTCAAATTTCCACTGATTCAGAGATCTTCTCCTGGACACCTGAAGCAGCCATTGTTCAGAACATCATGACGCTGTGCACTGTAGACCTGTCCACTGTTCCAGTCCGGCATTTGCCACCAGGCAAGCTCATGTCTTTGTTCTGGCAGTTTCAGGCATGGTGTGAAGCTGTGCAAGGACTGGCTGGTCAAGCAATCAAAACCCCATCATGGTCGACTTTCTGGAGACTGTGGTGGGAGAAGTGGTCGTCTGTGCTGAAGTTCCGAAAAGTTTCTCAGCACAAGGAGTGCGACACCTGCCACAAGCTGCGTGAGAAGTTGCATGGAAGCTTGGCTTAGCTCAGCATCCCAGCAGTGTTTTTGTGTTGCTTGTTGGGCAACTGAGGCAAGAAGGGTAGCACCAAGGAGAAGATGGAGCTGGCCCGAGACTGGCGTGAACATCTTCGTGCCCAGTACCATGATCGGCTCATCTACTGGAGCCTTCGGTGGGCATCACGGTCGTCATTGGATGTCTTGACCATCATCATAGATTCCATGGATCAAGTCAAGACGGCATGGCCTCAATACAAGTTTGCACGCAAGCCGCATTCATTGGAAAGCCTCAAGAGGCCACGTGTCATACTGACTGCAGTTCTCTGTCATGGCTGGTGCTCAAATGTTTTCATTGCAGATGAAGCTTTGCATCATGGGGCAGCGTCTTTTTGTGAGATGATTGCTCGCAGCCTGGACAATGTGGCAGAGATTGCCGAGAAGAAGGGCCGGACATTCCCGCGGCACCTTGTGATCCAGGCAGACAACACCACAGCCCAGAACAAAAACTCGTTGGTGTCATTGTTCCTGGCTTACTTGGTGTCGGAAGGCAAGTTTTTGACGTGCACCTTCAACTTTTTGACAGTGGGCCACACACATGAAGATGTGGATCATTTTTTTCCCTGATCCTGTCCACTGTTCTCCGTCCTTGCCGGTTTGAGGTGCCAGACGAGTTGGTGGCTTTTTTGAAGGCAAAGATGGAAGGGTTTGTGTCTGCAAAGGGGGAAGAACTGTATGTGGAAGAAGTGAGGCACATCAGGAACTTTGACGACTGGCTTGGGCAAGTGAAAATAACGCTTCGCAACTGCTTTGTTTCCAGAGCTGGAAGGCTGGCGGCCCACTCATTTGTCTACAAATGCCGCTGCCACCTGACACCCAGAGAAGTGGAACAGCTGCCTCCCATGCGGCGTGGGATGGAAGAGCATGACCACGATGTGTTTGCTCTCACCAAAGGACGCATGCACATAACTTCTTTCCATCCTCCTGCCCTGGCACTCCCGCGAAGGAGAGTGGAAGACTGTTCACTGTCCCCTGTCCCTTCTGATTTCAAAAGGCTGGCAGAAGGGACTGACACCAAGGAGGTCATCCAGAGGATGGGGAGGCTGGCAGACACACTAGAGTCGCTGCCGCATGATTTTAGCCGAGCTGTTGCTCAGCTCTGCAATGCCATCACTTTGTCTTTAATTAAGTCTTAGAAAATGTTTCGTTGGGGTCCCTAAAATATTCACCTTGGAAGAGGATTAAGCTCACAACTGCCTAAACCCCCAACTAACCTAAGCTGTGACTTGCGAGCACAGGTTCCAGCTTTGCGTGAACGTCTTGGGTGTCTTCAAGAGGGCCGCATTGCTGGGCAAGATGATGAGCCACCCCCACTCAAGTGGTTAGGTGCAGTGGCCCCAGAGCGAGCTGAAGTGCCACTGACACGGAACATGTATTATGAGCATTTGCCTGACACATCCTGGCAGCTTCTGGCAACGTTTCACCGGATGCCTCGTCGGAATGGAGATGTGTGAGAAATGGCTCAATGTCAATACAAGTTCTGTTAGTGTTGTTGTGTTTTCATGCATTCCTTGCAGAAGCAGAAATTGATGTTGTATGTTTTTTTGCAGCAGGCTTTGGCCCCCAGTCTACTGTCACTCTGTGCCAGTTGGATCATGGCGCACACAGGTTGGGCGGACAATGCCAGGGCCAAGGCAGTTGTGGAGAAGGTGAAGAAGAACATCTCAACAGCTGTGGGGGGCTCCTTGGACCCAGAGGCTTTTGATTGCATCCATGTGATTGATCTTATCCAGAAGAAGTTCCCGGAGCCGCAGCACCTGAAGCACTGCTTGGAAGGGCTGTATGACAGAGCCAAGCTGATTGACCCTGCCTGGACCCACCCTGGCACTCTGGATGCTGTTCCTATGCCGCCAGGGCCACAGCAGGGCGCCATTGAGGGATGGTTGTTGATCTGGCAGTTTGCGCATGAAGATTCAAGCTCGCTGAAGGGGCGGTCCAACATGGTGAACATCTTGGAGATAGCATTCAGCATCCTGGAGAATACTTTCAACAGTGTCCAGAACCCTTTGGATGTGCTGTTTCCTGCTCCAGGTGGGAGCCACATTGAAGACTTTTCCGTGAAGTTCAGTGTCGGCTTTGGCAGGTCCCTGGCCATCAAGATGATCCTGCTGGCAATCATGGACTTCCAGAATGATGAGCTGCTAGCCTTGTTCCCTGTCCTCTGTACACTGTTCGCAATCAAGTGTACCTACAACCCAGCTCCCACAGAGGACTTGCAGAGGCATCGCAGTCTTGCAGCGAAATTTCAGGTGAGCGAAAGTGTGCGCCCGGATCCGATTCAGATTTACACTCTTCTAGCGGATAGTCTTGCAAAGTCTGGGCAGAATGTGTCTGCAGGACTACCAGGAAAAATCAAAGCATACAACAGCCTGACGACTGTCCAAAGCCAAAGCATCTCAGAGCTTGAAAGTCGCGTCATTTGCGTCTTGCCGCAGCAGACGCCAAAGTTCGTGGAAGCGCTGAAGTACCACTGGCAGAACTACAAGAATGCCGAATCTGCCGTGCCGATGAAGCTCTTCGACCGAAGTGGTATGTTCGGCTCTGAGATGCCGCCTGAGGCCACAGGTGTATGGAGGGACATCTTGAAAGCAAGCCCAGAGAAGAATGAGTGTTTCTTGCTTCTGCTCATCGGGGTGTTTGCCAAGAACTTGAAGGATGCCCTGCGAATGAAGAAGAAGCCAAACCTCCGTTTCCAGGCATCTCGCTTTCGAGTCCAAGACCCCCAGAGAGGATACTACCAGGCGTGTCTTTGGGTCCACTTCAGACCAGACATGCAGAAGGAGATGACCAAAGCTGAGTTCGATCAGCTTGAGAGGAACTTTTTTCGTGGAGGTCTGGACCGTGAGCTGTCAGATCGTTGCAAGGCCATGAACCCAACTCTGAAGCTAACAGACTTCCGCTTCATCTACACCTTCCTTGGAAGAGAGGCTCCCATCGTCAAGGAGACTGTGGAGCTGGAAGCAGCGCAGGAAGCAGCAGAGCTGGAGCAGGAGAAGGCAGTTGGGTTTAAGACAAGAAAATTTACAGGTTTGGGGTTGGGGGTTTGGTTCGATGTGCTAATATTTCGTATCAGTGAGTAGGTTGTGGGACTCAGTTTTCTGTTCTGGGATGTTTAGTGGGATCCAGAGAAAACTAAGTCGAATTTGGGGCAATGTCCTGGGCTGCCTCAGCATTCAGGGTTGGAGATGCAGGCTTTGTGGTTGATGCTGTTGTTGCATTTTCCTGAC